GTACAAATGATAAACATAGGGTATACATAACAAGCACTAAACATCATCGTTCATTCCGTTCAATTATCGTCTCGTGAACCACCTTGATTCCGTCCGTACTGGGCTGGCTCGACTCGTCCCAGTCAAGGGGCGGGCTGGCCGTACAGGTCGGCGGCTGCTGCCGCGACGTCGGCAGGATCATCGCCTCGTCGTTGATAGTATACCAATGCGTGTCCGGGATGCTGAGCGGGTGCCGGAAGCGGCGCTTCTTGCTGTGGTGCGTCGAGTTCTCGCCGCGCTCGCCTTCGGACAGCGGGTACGCCGGGTAGCTCTGCGACTGGCCGCGGGAACTGATATACCAGCCTGCGCGCCGGGCGGCGCGGCGGAACAGAGGATAGATCATTGGGGCGTTGCCGATGACCACGGCGACGAACGTCTCGCGGCAGGCCCAGCTGCCGGCTTGGGACGCGCCGTTTGCGCCGGCCTAGCCTGTCAGCCAAGCCATAGTATTGCGGGAAAAGACTTACTGTGACGATCAAAACGCAGCGGAGGATCCCGGCCGCCATGACGAAGATTCCGCCGGAGAAGAGGATGAAGAGTTCGAGTTTCTCGCGCCAGGGGAGCCGCGCTTTGAAGAGCATCTATGGATGTTAGACGGTTCGATTTGTGGAAACGGGAACGTACCGGTGTGGGAATGGTAATGAGATAGACATCAGTCGCGACATTCAGCGTGACGGTCATGTAGACATCGATCGGCGCGATGGCGGGTTGGCAGCGTACTAACACGTCAGTATAAGCAGCCTTCAAGAGAGTGGCACGTACCGCCAGGATCGGGATAGATCTGCCAATTCTTGTGCATCGGATGGCAGCCAAACAGAATCGACAGAATCACGATCAGATAGGTCACCCCGATGGCAACGTAGGCCACCCGCACGCGGATATGCATGTTGATCAGACCGGCCCTGCCCGTCAGCGTCAGCGTCAGTGTCTATCTCCATCAAATGAGGCGAGACATACGTCAAGCGCGAGTAGAAGATGGCCATGCACGCCTTCAACAACCACAGCAGGGTCGTGTACAACGACCACCCCAGTACCTGCGTCTTGGATCCGCCTACTCGCAGTCTGAATTCCTCCGAGTCGGGCGAGAGGGCGGCGCGCTGGGCATCGGTCATGTAGTTGTTGGCCAATCCTTTCCACCAGGCACCGACGCAGTAGGCTGCGCCTGTTTCGAGACCGTAGACCACCTGCATGTAGCCGTATCAGTAGATGTCAATAGATGTAGTAAAGAGTGACAGAACGTACCCCGGCCAGAGGCATCAGGTAATCATCGAGTTGGAAATTGTGGAATCCCACGGTGAAGATGCGAGCGAAAATACGAAGGATAATGACAACGATGGCGAGGGAAAGGAGGGTAAAGGCCTCGGTGGTGAAGCTGTCGCCCATGATGGCGCATGAGCTTCTCAGCTGTCTCCTTCTGACAAGAGGAATGAATGTTCGTCAAGGGACAGTAAATGAATGACTGGGATCGATAGCCCCTCAGGGGAAGAAACATGGAAGATATAGATGGAGTACAGCACATTCAAATCCCGACGGTCCCGCCGCAGACGATGTGTAGAAAGACTACTTGCAAGGCTGAACAACTCCTTGATTGATAGACTTCGGGTCATAGCAATCCCTGACAGAACGGCGAGCAATGATTCGGGGGAGGGGGAACCAACTTCTTGCCATTATTACTGGCGTCCGCATGCTTATGCACTGTTCAGGACGAGGTCGAGAACGGTTGTCTGATTCTTTGTCCACTTGTGACAGGCTAGGATCCTGGTCAGAGGCCATGTGGAGACGCAGCTGTTCTTCAGCCATCAAGACCCATGCGTGCAGCGAACGATATGTGGTATTTCCTGTTGAGGATCGGCGGTAATATGGATCATCGGCGAAGTGACAGCACTTATAATATGACTAGACTGCCGAACTGACATGACGGAGAATAGGAGCACGCTAGAAAGAGACCATTCCTCGGGGAGGAGAGTCAAACCAGAACAGACGAGGAACTGCTTGCGAAGATTTGAAAAGATAGACTTTGCAACTCTGATCTGATAGCATCACTTGCATCATTGAATGGAAGTATCAAGTGAGGTGTCATATTCCATGATGTTTGACAAAAAAAGTGACAGGTCATTTTGGAGGACAAAGAAGAAGAACTGCTTTTTGTCAGCTTTAGCAATTGTCATAAAAATCAGTCAACAATTCCTGTCGAGTCAGAAACAACCATGCTGGGTCTATACTCCATAGTCTTGCTTGCATACAGGTAACGTCTGATAACAACCGTATTGCAACTACTCCACATATACTCCGTAACTAAACAACAATTGCGATGGCTGCAATTGAGAGAACAGAACCTTCTTCCTGATGATCACAATTTGAGATACTTTCTTCACTGACTCCGTAGGTTATCTGTTGATTGACAGACACTAACAGGACCAGTGCTGCAGCTAAAAACACTAAGAGCACACTAATTTCCAGTCCAGTAAGGATTGTCTTTTGGCATTCTCAAGGACATAAGTACAGACAGACTATCTACAGAGATGTCCATCTGTGCACTGGTACTTTGCTTATCCCTTTCACTTGCTTATCCCTTTCTTCCCTTGATACTCCGTACTCGCAGTTGTGGAAGCCCCCCATGCTGACATGGACAAATCGACTGATTCTTCGGGCATGCTGTACTACAATACTTGACCTGCAAGGTCCACTTCTCGTTCTCTAGTCTCTCCACATTTAATCTCCCTATCCCTAGTCTACTGTCATCACTAGTCGGCTCTACGGCGGCTAGGGATAATTCCCCGCTGACCGTTACCTTTCAATATGCGACTATCTCAGTAGTGATCGAACCAGAAACTCTTGAACTCCGCAGTCTTTGTGCACAAACCATACATAATCCATGGTTATAAGAGATAATAATAATAATAATACTAAAGTCCAGACCCTCCTGTGTCCACCTGTCGTTCTTTAATCCACCTTCCCTGTCTCGTTGCCTGACTTGTCGTCTACACATCACTTTCTGCCTTCTTGCCTTTTCTTACTTGCAGCAATTGACGCAGCAATTGATCCTGATTGATTGATTTGTGAACTGTCAATTGAGTGTCCCATCATGGAGACGGTCGATTTGACAGTCATCGGTGCCGGTATGCCTTTCTCTTCACTTCATGATCAGACACTAACAAATCAGGCTGGAGTGGCCTCGCGGCCATCAAGACCTATCTCCAGGTCAACCCGTCCAGCACTGTGATCCTTCTGGACGCTGCCTCGTCCATTGGGGGTGTGTGGGCCAAACACCGGCTGTACAAAGGCCTCAAGTCCAATAACATGCTGGGCACCTACGAATTCAGCGACTTTCCCATGGACCCAGACACTTTTGGCGTCCAGCCGGGCCAGCATATCCCCGGCCATGTCATCCAGCAGTACATGGAGAAATTCGCTGAGCATTTCCAGTTCCGCGATCGCATCCGGCTCAACACGCGTGTGCGATCGGCCGAACATCGTCCAGATGGCACCTGGCTGCTGACTACAGAGCACCACGGCGAAGTCAGGGAGGTCGTGACGCGCAAACTCATCGTCGCGACCGGCATCACCTCGCAGGCCTACCTGCCCGACTTCCCCGGCCAGGAGACCTTCGACGCGCCGCTCTTCCACTGCCGCGATCTTCTCCAGTACGAAGCCGAGATCCTCCAGGAAGGCCGGCGCATCACCGTCTTCGGCGGCACCAAATCCGCCTGGGACGCCGTCTACGCGGCCGCCACGTCTGGCGCGCAGGTCGATTGGGTCATCCGCGAGAATGGCCACGGCCCCGTCTGGATGGCGCCGCCGTACGTCACCCCGCTGAAGAAGTGGCTCGAGAAGCTGGTCACCACGCGCCTCCTGACCTTCTTCAGCCCCTGCATCTGGGGCCACGCCGACGGCTACCCGCGCATCCGCCGCTTCCTGCACGGCACCTGGCTCGGCCGCAAGATCGTCGACGCTTTTTGGAGCATCCTCGCCAACGACGTCATCCAGCTGAACCGCTACGACGCCCACCCGGAGACCGCCAAGCTCAAGCCCTGGATCAGCCCCTTCTGGATCGCCTCCAGCCTCAGCATCCTCAACTACCCAACCGACTTTTTTGAGCTTGTCCGCTCCGGCGCCGTGCGCGTCCACGTCGCCAACATCACCCGTCTCTCCCAGGGAACCGTCCACCTCTCCTCCGGCACGGACCTCCCCTCCTCCGCCCTCATCTGCTCCACCGGCTGGAAAGCAACCCCAAACCTCGACTTCCTCCCGCGAGGTTTGGATACCGACTGCGGCTTCCCCTGGGCCGCAGACCCCATCCCAGAGGACCTCCTCGCCGCCGCCGACGAAGAAATCCTCCGTCGGTTCCCCCGGCTGCGCAACCAGCCCGCCCCGCCCAAGGACTACGCGCCGCTCGCGCCGGATGCCCCCGCTACAGCCGCGCATCCCTTCCGCCTGGCCCGGTTCATGGTGCCGTGCTCGTTGGCGAGGGAACGCTCCCTGGCGTTTATGGGGATTGCGATGACGATCAACACGACGCTGCTTGCGCAGGCGCAGGCGCTGTGGATTACTGCGTTCTTTGGAGGGAGCCCCGTGTTGCGGGTGACGGAGAGGTGTCCGTCTGCGCTGCGGGCTGTCGAAGGGAGCGGAGACGCAGATGCAGATAAGCTGGACGAAAAGCGCGAGGAAATGGATCTGGTGTGGGAGACGGCGCTGCATAGCCAGTTTGGCAAGTGGCGGTATCCCGGGGGATTTGGGAAGCGGAACCCGGACTTTGTGTTTGATGCGATTCCGTATGTGGATTTGCTGTTGAATGATCTGGGGGTGAGGAGTGTGAGGAAGAGTGGTATCTTAGGGAGCGTGTTGAGTCCGTATGGGACGGAGGATTACCGGGGGTTGGTGGAGGAGTGGATGGCTGCCCGCCAGTAACTGATATATCATATACCCTACTTTCTTAACTTTTGTCTTTTGTTGATAGTTGATTACTGCATAACAAACTGCTCGAACATGCCCACTCCCTCGTAGACCTCCCCGGCCACTTTGGCCGTCATCCTCCCCGTCCACCGCGCATAGTACTTCCCGTCACCAGCGACCATAGCCCCAAGGGTAACATCCACCTCCATCTGAATACTATAAACCACCCTGAACCCATCCGGCACGTCCCCACGCACCGGTGGATAAGCAGCTGCCATCCCGTCCTTCCATGGCCGCACAGACACAACCCCCTCCTCACAGCTAGACACCACAACCTCCCGCCCAACAGCCACATACCCACTCACCACCTCTGTTTCGTTCCCAACAGGAAGCATATCAAACCAGACGACGGAGAACGGGCCAACCCGGCCCCGTCCCCAGTACCACGTCCGCACCGCCGCCTCAAACGGTCCATCCGACCAGTTCTGCGCAAGCCCATACATATCAGCCGTAGCCCCCCTCGCATTCACACCCTACACTCAAAAGTCGAGTGAAACATACCTTATCATGATACCCAACCCCCGTAAAGCGGACTCCCTCCCCGCCCACCAAAACATCAACACTCGCCTCCGCGTCGGGGAGGAGACTCGCCCATCCGATCCCAACCGTGCTTGTATCACCCAAGCGCAGCCGGTCGTCACCACAGGGTGTATGCGGGTTCGATACCTGGCCCATTAGCCAACTTAGCTTCAGCTTCTAGTAGATGGGATGACGAACAGACGATAGTCTCACAGACCCTGTTACTCCTACCCCTGCCCCTCCGTCAATAGTAACAAGATACTCCCCGCTCTCGGAGCCAGTAAAGGAAACGCCGCTCCCGTGCCATATTCCTCGGGTAACACCGCAGGCTGCGTCGACTGTTGCTAGGGATGCGTCCGCGTAGCGTGCGTAGGTGGTCCCATTTGGAAACGAGATCCAAAGGTAAGCCAGGAGGACGGAGTCGGAGTCGGTATTGCTATTGCTTGGGAGGAAGGGGAATGCGGTAGGTGTGCTGGTGAAGAGGGTGATCACAACAGAGACATTCGGATTCGAGGAAGAGACGGCGTCAAAGTACCACCAGTCGAAGACGGTGGTGTTGATGGGGTGGACCTTTGGTTTGGAGAGGGTGGACAAGAGGGTCGACGGGGTGGTGAAGGTTGCGAGGCTGAGATTGGGGGATGGGGTACTAGGGATGGTGATGTTGTAGAAAGACTCTGGGGGAAGTTGAGCTAGAGCCAGAGAGAGGAAAATCAGCAGGAGGAACATTGTGAGATTGATGAGAGATAGTATCTTGGTATTGGCAGATATTTATCATCTGTTGAGGCGCTAGTCTTGTCTGCCTGACACAGTGGTGTGCCATTGACTCAGACCAATAGCAATTGTCTCAGTGATTTGAATAAGTGAATAGTGAATAAGTAATCTACACTGCAACGCTAGAATCATCCAAACCCATACCAGGGAGATAGGTGCAAGCAGCCGCTCCATACGCGATAATATCAACATTCGCCATAGCCTCGTTCAACAACAACAAATAGATGGATAGAAATGGATAGATAGAGATGGAAGACAAACTCGAAATCATCGCTAGTCCCTACTCAACGCCTTGAGAACGATGCTCGTAGAAAACTGATCAGCTGTGCCCATTGGTATCAACGCTCTCCTTGTCCTCCTCCTTGATACTCGCCGTGCTCGTCTTCGACCCGTCCGACCCGTCCTTGCCGCATCCTTTGACCAGAATATGTCGCTGACAAGTCAGCACCAGAGCAGAGATAAGAAGAGATAGAGGGAGGTACCTTCAATGCATCCTTGCGGGAAAAACTTTTATCGCAATGCGTACATGGAAACGGCTTCACCGACAAATGAATGCGCTTATGTCGCTTCAGGTCGTGGTTCCGGTTGAAGCTTTGCGGGCACTGATCACACTTGAACGGCCGGTCGTTGGTCGGCCCCGGCTGGTGGATAGGGTGTGGCGGATGCCCGCCGTACATTTGCTGCATGCTGGCCACGTGGCCACTGTTGAACCCGGGGAGAATGCCTGGTTGCATGCTACCGAGCAACGACATTTGGCTGTTTGGACTGTGTATGTTCGTCATCACCGGCCCGTTCATCGCCGGGAGTGAGTACGACGGCCAGGGCTGGCGCGAGTAGTTCAGGTGAGGTGGTGGCCCTGTGGCCGAGAGGGTCGGAGTGGACGAAACGCGACCCGGCGGATGGATGCCGAGCCCCGGCTGTCCGTACGGTGGGAAACTGGTCTGGTGCGGGCTGGGGATCTGCTGTGCTGCACCGTAGACGGGTGCCGACTGCGATTTGGGTCCGTAGGGGTCATTCGATGGGAGGAGGTGCGGAGATGGCCCTGGGTTGGGTAGTCCCGTGGGACTGGCCATCATGGCGTGCGTCATGGCGGGATGCTGCGGTGTTCCAGTCGGGAGACCTGACGGGGGAACGGAAAGCGATTGCTGGAATGGAGGGAGGTGGTGCATGTCGTAAGGCTGCGCCATGCCTTCGGTCACGGGAGGAGATGTCGGTTGATTTCGGCTCAATGGGTTCAATGTCGATGGCGAAAACGAGTCCCGCGTCGGATATGACTGGTTGCTCCCCGCACTCCACGGTTGTCGCGGCCCGGGAGTACTTCCATAGCCACTGTGTCCCTGCCAATACGCCGTCCCATACGAGGGAGCCACGTCCGGGGTCGCAGACACGGTGGTCGTCGGCGCGGCCGAGCTGGGAGCGGTCACCTCGCCGGCCTGCGTCGACGCCGGTGGTGTCAACAGACTGTTCACACTGGGATGGGCTGGAGGGTGCGCATTCGACTGAAGCGGATACTTGGGGGTCCCGACGTTGATCTGAAAGTTCGGCGGGGGCAGCTCAAAGCTGGGGAGTGTGGGCGCCGCCGGCCGCCGTGCGTTCAACGGCGGCGGGGCATTCAAGTCCCCCAACGCCGTCCCCATGCCCGGCGGAGGAATCGCGAGGGCAGCCAGATTGGCGGAGTTGTCTCGAGAAAAGGCGATGGGTTGGTACAGCTCGGACGGAGGATGGGACAAAGTGGAGGACAACCCGTTGTCGTCCCCAACAGCCCAGAATCGACTGCCAGACAGGGCACCAGAGACGATGTCTGGAGGATCCAGGAGGGGCGAGCGGATCGCGCGAGAGCGATCGCTTTAGAATCGAGGTTTGGCGTCCAATAGATACCGATTCTTATATTGACGTCCCGTCTAGGAGATTCGAAAATCCCGTTCGCTCTCTCGTTCCTGATCTTGAGCGGTTGGTCTGATGTAATAGTGTACCCGACTGATGTTCAGGGTCACCCAACACTTATACCGAGGACATACTCTGACCTCTTGTATCAAGTTAAGACTGTACAGCGCAAGCCTGAAAATGCGCAGAGCAGATATCGGATGTAGAGGTAATGGAGCTGATGGTATTTTAAAATTCACCAGGCGTCAGAGACATGCATTGTCTTGCCAAAGCCGACCGCGCGATCAGAGGAATACGACGGTGGCCGAGTCTATCTCCGGTAATAATTAGCGATCCAGGATGCGCGAATGGACTTGGTTCTGATGAGGATGAATCAGAGTAGAGTCAGCGAATTAGTAGGATGAAGGTATGCTGGTGATGACACTGTCGTGCTGAGATTGTGGTGGTGATGACAATCGATGAAAGTGATCGGATCGTAGTATTATTAGGAGGACAATGATGGCACTGATAGATCGAACAGTCAGAGTGGAAGAGAGGAGAGGAAGAAACGAAGAGGCAGAGCCAGCGCCAGTAATAATAATAACAGAAGTAATATAAGGTACGGAGTAGAGGATAATAACAGCCAGCAATGGGGAATAAAATAAAGTAAAATAAAATACAAGACCAAACCAGACAGACCAAATAATAAAATGAACAAGAACAAGCAGCACAACAAAACCAAAACCAAACCCAGAGAGCGCGAGTATCCAGACCACTCCACGGACCTGGGTCTGGCCAGCGCGGGGGAGGAATTTCGGGCGGGAAATTTTGGGTGCTGCTCTGGAAAGGGTCAAGTGCGAAAAAATAATAATAATAATAATGATAATAATAATTCCTCCGTAATTCGGGGGAGGGTAAAAGGAAAGGGTAATGAAAAAGGAAAAAAAAAAAAAAAAAAAAAAAAAAAAAGAGACCACAAAATAAGGGAAGAAAAAAAGAAAAACTAAAAAGAGGCGACAAAACGAAGAATGAGGTTTACCTGTAAAAGCTAGCCTAAGGGGTCTGGTAAGGAGCCCAGATTGATTATTTCAGTGTATCTCAGCTGAGGATGATGCATCTCTAACAAGAGAATAGGGGAAGAAGATGGTGATTGTAGAAAAAGAAAGTAGGCACTATCATCTCACAAGGAATAAGAATAGACACAGAGATAGATAGGTCGAAGGGAGATATCTATCTCCTGGCTAATAATAATCGACCTCTGTCAAAGAGGGGACTGGGACCGATCATCAACAACGTGGTTGACAGGGCTCTCCAAGCAAGTCCAAGGAGAAGGCCACAAACGAACCAAGAACCGGGTTAACAGTATCTATCCGTAGGTGGACTAGACTGGAGACTACCACTCAATTTGCCCCATTGTTCTGAGCATTCCACGGTTCTACGGAGTGTCCGTACGGTATCTGGTATCTGGGTGATCTGGTATTATTCTCATGGGGGACGACCCCATCGATCGAAAAGACCAGCTTAACGATGATTGGCCGATAAGCATCAATCGCAGGAGAATCAATCACTACGAGTAGAGGATCGCATTCTCAGTTGTATGGGAGAAAACAACCCAGAGTCCTCCGTACTCCGTACTGTAATCTGTAAGCTGTAAGCTGTAAGCCCAAGTCAAAGTACCAGATATGTGGAGTAGCTGTCGACGATCGGATGGCCACCGGACCAGGACCAGCAGGGGATGTTGCTCAAGTCTCCTGTATGGTGGAGCAGAGAATAAGCTTAGCAGCGATGGACGATCGATTGCAAGACTGTACTTTGATCTACAATAAAGGTACGATTCTTTAAAATTCAGCTCTGAAGCTACTGGATTCTCTAAGCCTTCAGGAGGGAAAAAGCAACGATGCGGGCACTGACAGCGACAGACCTGACAGTATGAGATTACCACACGGGTACCTATGTACGGTAAGATACAGACGGTGAAAAGGGGCAAGGCTCCTTGCGTCAAGAGTCCAGATTGACAGTTCTTGAGGACATGGAAGTGAGCCAGATCAATTGCTTCATCATGGAATCGAGTCATCAGTGTCATTAGGATCAAAAGAAAAGCATCATTGTCTCGTTCATACGATCCGTAAGCTGAGGCACAATGTCATCCTGCTCGTCTAAGTGGAGGAGTCGTATGTATGGCCCAGTGGAATACCATCATATCGACCATGTTTGATTAGCCCACTGGAAGAATGCTCTGGATTGCGGTCGATAATTCCTGCACATTGCACGACCAAGGATTCTGCTAAGATTGCGAAGTCTCGTGCATCACCATAATCATCATTTTCATCTTCATCTTCTTCAACCAGATCATGGAGGGCAAATGCCCAAGGCAAACGAATCTCCGAGTCTGGTTCGCCTACCCATGCATGAGGGATTGTCCCGTCTGATTGGTTACTTGTTGTCCACGCGGCATCACCCGAGGTTAGGTGGTCACCTGAGATAACAACTACTGGACGGATTACCAGAAGTCACCAACAATAATCAATGCAGACTTACTCCGTACTAGTAGCGAGAGGACCAGCAATACGAGATGCCAAACAACCCGACTGGCTTCGTGACAATCTGGGTAGCCTGAAGCGAGCGCACCAGAGAAACGGATTTTTCTCTGCCAGACAGACTGCCTGGGCCCTTTCAGCCAATTCTCACTACCCGTTCCTAGAGTGCGGACTATTCCATTACAAGGCTAGTGCATCCAAAACTAGCTCTCAGGGATCCACAGACTTACTCTGCCTGTCGGCCTGCAGCCTGCAGTCTGCACCAGTGGTCTGTCCACTCGCTTGCTTTCGCTAAGTTTTGACACCCACATTATTGAATATGACTTTCTTTTCTCTTCATTACCCCGTATGTACATAGTAGATGGGAAATAAAGTATCCAACCAGAGAGTATTGATCTCATGCAGATAGTCTGGATAACGGTTGCTGGTCGAACCAGAGACACAGAAGGAAACAAAAGAAAAGAGGGATACAGTCACATGATTAGCCCCAGCCTTCGTCCCGGTGACCACAGGCGAAGAATCCATGGTTCACACAGACGCAGCCGAGAACTGAGCGAATCAGAGTTTGAGAGTCTGGTCTCGGGCCTCTTGGCTCGAGCTCTAGACTAGCCTCTTAGCCTCTTTGTCCGGTGCCTAGGATTAATGCAGTTAGCCTGAACGGCCACCGATAACTTGACAGAGTCCTTATTTATTATTTCATCAATTCTGTACTTGAGATGCGGACTGTTCTGGGGATGGGAGCAAACACATTAGAGTTCAGCTGAACCTAAATCGTAACTTTACATTTTCTTGTACAGACTAGGTACTACTATCTAGTAGACAGGAATACGGGTGGCCCATGAGGCTAAGCCCCATGAGTAACTGCCGGGAGCACCAATCTGTCGGAGTCGGGCGGCGTTGTCGAGGGAGATCGGGGTGGCTGCCACGGTCAGTGTGACAGTCCCAGTGCCTTGAGCCCTTTGACGCCTTGAGGCTGTTTTGGCTTTTAACAATGTATGTGCAGTGCACTGTGCAACGCCACATCCATCCTGGTATTCGGCAATAGTGCTGACTGTTTAGACTGCTTTGTCTCTGGCCTTGACCTGGCCTTGACCTGCTCTTAACCCTTGACCCTTGACCTTAGACCCTGGCTTATTATCAGGCTACTGCAATGACTGTCGTCTCGGCCGGAGGATTGCAGCTCTACCTTACCTTACTCCCAGATGGGAAGTGCTCCGTGGTCCCAAGGTACGGAGTACGCGTACCCTCTCATATTCTTTTTTTAACCGACCGCCCTTCCTTGTGTCTCTCCAGACTATCTATACCCTGTATATACACATGTCCTCACTTCTTCAGAGTAACCGATACTAGGTCATCTCATACATCCTGATCTGTTTCTTCCTACAGACCCCATAACCAATCACCTACCCAATCTAAGTACTCGTGGAAAATGCCTAATCCTGCCGGCCAGTCAAGACCACCGACGCTACCAACAGTAGTCCTATGCACGTACAAACACACCAACCCATAACACGCGGTTTGGACCTATCACAGCCCTTGACAATCGAGGCAGACACGGAGCAAGCTCTAGGAGAACCACATCAGAGGACTAAAGCTAAGACTAAAGGGTACGGAGTGCAGTTTATGCTTTACTTTAGTGGTGGTGGTTTAAGCTATGGCTGGTTACGGATACAGCTACATACACCTACCATCTATTGTCAAAGACACTAACTCCATACAACCAATGAAGATGACTATGGCTGCTCCGAGGCGCAACAGGGAATTCATGGAAATGGACTCCGTACGCTGCGTACTCTGTTCTACAGTAGACTTAGCTCTTTTCCGACCGTTAGTTGGTATTTATTATGCAGGGTTCAACGGTCCGTCACTGTCTGTTGATTCTGGTTATATATGTATTTATATATATTTCCTCCTACTCAAGCGATGTCGTATAGAGGATAAATGGAATATCATCTTACGGGATAGATAATACACAAGACTTCATCATCGTCCATACTTTTGTATGCTTCGTAGAATATAGATGGTATTCTAAGAACCTATCGAACCGGTGTTCGTCCACTGTGCAGTGTCAGTGGACAGGACGCGGACTGGCCAGCTAGGACTCCTGCATCATGCAAGGATGCAGCGGGGGGAAGTGTTGCAATGTGACAGCGTTCAGCGCGGAAGACGGCTGGACTGGTCTTTGCATTTGCTGGGTCTGGAGCGTAGTGATCGTCCTGCAGATAGAGGGATAAATTGAGAGATCATTCATCTTGAGTAGAATGAACGAGGACAGGGCAAGGTACTGCAGAAGGATGGAAGGGAGATAGTCAAGGCTGTAAATACCAGTCAACCTGCGATTTGTTGAGTCTGGATGGGCGAGACCAGTCTAGACTCGCCCTCGGATCAACAGGGACAATCACTACATCTGCTCAAGTATGTCTCGAGTAGTTTGCATTCCTGGGACGTTATGCAGATATCAGACTGGTATTGGGGCGCAGAACATCCTGATATTGCCACAAGAGCAATCTACCTCGTCACCTAGAGTACTATCTCATGCATCATCTACATATACATCGTACTTGTATCGACTGCCCGGATGATCCTCTCGCAGCTCCCTCTGTCCCTTCCCGTACACCCTCTCCCGTGCCGTCAGGGCCTCTGCCTCCTGCGCCGGCTGCTCCGGGTACAGCCCTCGTCTCCTCAGTTCCGGAACCAGCAGCTCGACCACATCCTCAAAAGTCCCCGGCGTCGACACATGGCCGATGTTGAACCCGTCCAGATCCGCCTCCACGATCCACCGCTCCATCTCGTCCGCGACCGTCGCCGCGCTACCAATCGCCACGGGGCCCAGCCCGCCGATCGACGCCTTCTCCGCCACCACCCGCGGCGTCCACCGCGGGATGTCCTTGCTCGTGGTCGTGAACGCATCCAGGATACTCGCGATCCGGCCCGCCTCTGCCGAGTCTGCCGCCGTGATCTCTTGGTCCAGCGGGATCCGCGAGATATCGATGCCTGTCCATCCGCTGAAGAGGACGAGCCCCCCAACCACGGACGCGTACTTCTTCAGCTCGTCGTATTTGGCCCGGGCCTCCTCGTCCGTCCGGCCCAGGATGGGCGTGAACGTCGCAAAGACCTTGATCGACCGCGGATCCCGCCCCTTCTCCGCTGCCAGCTGGCGAATCCCGTCGACTTTGGGCCGCAGCACCGCTGGCGAGTGGCTCGAGACGAAGATCGCCTCGGCGTGCGTGGCGGCAAACGCCGAGCCTGCTGGTGACGTGCCCGCCTGGAAGAGAAAGGGCGTCCGCTGCGGAGATGGGTCGACAATGTGGGGTGTCTCGAGCGCGTAGTATCTCCCCTTGTGCTTGATCGTGCGCACTTTGGCCGGGTCGATGTACGAGTCGGTCGTCGGATCCGGGGAGACGGCGTCCGAGGCCCAGGAGCCTTCCCATAGTCTGTGCTCGTCAGCGGCAAATAAAGGAAAAAGCACAATTGATATACTTGTACAGCACGCGCAGGTATTCGTCCGCCTGCTGGTACCGCTCATCATGCTCGATGGGACTGTCCAGCCCGATGGCCTTGAACGCCGCCTTCTTGTACGAGGTCACGATGTTCCATCCGAACCGGCCCTGTGTCATATGGTCTAGTGTCGAAAACCGCTTGGCCAGCAGGAACGGCGCCTCGGAGGAGGTTGACGAGGTGATGGCGAAGGTCAGATGCTTCGTCACTGCTGCCATGGCCGAAATGGGCTGCGCAGTCGAATCAGCAGTGCGCCGTGCTCCAGGGTTGGCAAAGACATACAATCGATGGATCAGTCACAGGCCATTGCGCCGCCCGGCGAATGCACTCGTCCAGCTTCCCCTGGTACGTGTCGTGTCCTCCAAAGGTATCAGCCAGGAACAGCGCGTTGATTCCGCCCCGCTCGAGAAGTTTCGCCAGCTCAACCCAGTACTCCAGGCTGCGCTTAGTGGCGGATTTATCGCTGGGGTTCTGTGCACACTTAGGTCAGTCAGGTCCAAGAAGAAATCAGCTCCGTTCTTACTTTCCATTGGCCGGGGGACAAGTGTCCCACGGTGCTCATATCAAATGCATTCAGCAGAATGTGTTTTTGGCCATTCCGGTCAGTGGAAGCACTGCCCGCGCTATCTCCCATTGTGACTGTAGATCTGGAGCGTTCCTGTCAACTCTGAGCTCGCTGATCCAATTCTGTGGACAGTAGTTATACTCCCTCTCTCGTTCAACCTCTTCAATGGGAAGGACGTAGCTCGTCATGACCCCGCATTCATTCGCCATTGCGTGTTATCATCACGCAAGATGCACGCGGAGAAGGGCCGCTATGAGATATTTCCACGAAGTGATTCGTCATTATCTCCACAACATTCACGACCTGCTTAATGACTACTTCTGTGCCTGACTGCATGGACGGTTTCTTTCGCAGCATGTGGGTGGATATAGATTGCGTGTGCGGTGGTGACGATTCCATCATATGTGCTGATATTGCGACATGGTTTGTGGAGTCACCCTGGATAGGATTTTGACCATCGCCGGAAAAAGATCATTGATTCGAGGATATCTCGTTTCATAGCGTGTGCCACGTTCCCAGGATAGCTTCTGAATCCTGAATGCAAGCGATTGCCCGATAATTTCCCTGCATTCAGTAGAGTTCCATCATTCGTCTACACACTGCCCTTCATAGATACTTCCAGGCTGCATATCTGCTAAGTCTATCATACTGCGACGTGGGCAGCTACTTCTCTGGATACACCTGCAAGATTGCTCTATCACCAGGCTCAATATCCCTCGTTTCATCTGAGTCGCTGATGTCGGAGTTGCCTTCTGCTCTTTTCGAGATTCTCCTGTAGGCTGTTAGACGTATCAAGGAAAATGTGACAGAGTGCATACTCCTCTCGTTTCGCGAAGAACTGAATGACATGCGCCAGTATAATCAAGCATATGGCGTTGCCGAGTACGAACGAGTACCCTTTAGTGAATCGAGGAGCCTCAACGGTCTTGAAGACTAGCAAAGGCGTCCACGCGGTCGTTGATTGAGAGACGGCATTCAAAATGATCAGTGCCACCGCTCGTTCAACAGGGGAGTATCGCAGTTGACTGTTAACCCAGCCGTAGAGCACACTGGACATAGCGACTGCAGAATAGGTTGTGGCAAATGCAAACCAGAGCGCCGACTGGGGAACATCCCACACGACGAGTATCACCAGCCCAATAATGTTCCAAGTGTGTGCAATGGTAATAGCCCAGGCAGGACCGAACAAAAGATCCGATGAAAAACAGATGAAGAGTGTGTAGAAGATCCCCAATGCTGGAGATATCGCGTTGAGCTCGTTGATGCGACTGGTTGAGAATTTCTTGAGGCTTTTCAGCCAGAGCAGATAACCTCCGGTAGTGGTGTTGACGCTTCCGTTCCAGAAGAAAATATCCAGCAGGAGTAAAGCCCAAAATCTCCAATTGCCAGCAATGCTCACGACCACCTTCCATCGGAAATGTTCCTGTACACCGTGTCCTGCTCGTTGAAGCCGCCTTTTGGCCAGCTCGATGTCTGCCTGTTTGAGGACTAATCTATTCGGCTTGTCAGGAGTCCCGGGTAAGATCAAATATCCCAGCAAGCCAATGGGAATGGTGATGATGGCGCAGATAATGTACATCCATCGCCACCCTGCCAAGCCATGGACGCCGTCAAGCCTTGCCGATGTGCCAGCTTGGATTAAGCTCGATGTCAACGTTCCCAGAGTGAGACCAACGTAAAAGCAGCCGCCTCTCCGGCCGATTTCATCACCGCGATACCAAGATCCTGAATGGCAAATGTGAGTTTGTTCCGTATTTCAAGACTTGCAGGTTTTACCTACCGAAAATGTAATGCATGCCCGGGAAGAATGCAGCCTGGCTTGCTCAGTCGAGATCTTAGGGAAATTATAGAAAGATTTCAAACCTCAAACCACCCAACGAGAAATCGGTAAGCCATCAACTCCCCGTACGAGGTCACTCGATACTGCAGTAATGTAAACACACCCCATGAAATATCCAGAGCTGGAATGACCCAGGACATTGGAAATTTGGTGAAGAGATACGCGAAAGGGATTTGTCCTAGAACCGCGCCGACGGTGTACATTGTCTGCAGATGGACGAGCGCATTACCGCGCAGGTTCAAATCATCTGAAAGACCCGAAACATATGCGTTGTCTGAGAGTAGGATTAGTCTAGTTCGAGTAGGGCTCATTGATGACCTACTTATGTTGGATTGGTCTATATATTTGGTCCAGTACGCAAGAAAGGCATATGGAACAATCAGAAGATCCAGCTTCATGATGAGCTGCCGTTCCTCTTTCGTGTCATCGTCCGCAAACCACTTGATCTGATACCATTTTCTGCGTTGTACTGAAGCCATTGCAGGAATTTTCCGCCAGTGGAATTCTCCGGCGATTATCGGTTGTCTGATGATCGAGAAGGATAGTTCTATGGGGTATGATAGGCCTGACTGGCAGCCCCTGAAGGGATAATATATCGACTCCATTAAGATGCCACTACCGATAGTAATGACGTGACGACCTACGCATCATGCTCGGCGCGACGTGAAAGTTTCCTCCTATCTCCAGAGCTCTGACGCACAAAGTTGAGTGCGACTTAGTGGATGAACGTCCTGTGTACAAACTGGAGAGCCAAGAATCGTGTTAGAAGGTGGAGATAAGACGTGCTTGTCTAGCCTATGTATGCGATATCAAAGCGCATACTGCTCGTTTCGCTTTCTCGCCACTGGCTCAGCCTTATGATCCCTCAAGTTGACTCTTCATCATCGATGATTGTACTTGTTGACTGAGAATACGTCGCCCCAGCGCTCGCGCAGGAATCTCGGCCGACGATGGTGCATCTTCTTGCTCCCAATTGTCGCTTCATAATTCCTCATGGAGCCGAATGACCAGAATAAAGAGCAATTCAGATACTGATACGGTCATACCCACGCTGCCAATGAAATCGAACATGGACAGACGACAGACGACCGGGTTCGTATTCTCCAAGTGGTTCACAGAGAGCAGCGAGACATCGCGACCCCGAGCGAACTTCTAGGCCAAAGATAGCGTCTAGGCAGATCCTCGGAGAATGAGGAGAAGCGCTATCCCTAAAAGGACAGCGTCTATCAAATGCGACTGGTATTGGCACTACTCAGAGCGGGAGAGATCGAGTAAAGACAACATGAAGCATTTCAATCTCGAAGCTCAGAGCTCTCATATCCAACATTTGTCCAATTGACCTGGGCGTTGATGAGTGTTTCCAGGACCATGTTCGTTCAAACGATCTACCTTCGGTCGGATGATGGAAAGACACCATCGAGATGAAAAGGAAGCAGAAAACTGGACGACATGTCTACGAGAAAGGAGCCATTCATTGACATCTCTGTGACCGACTGGCATGTGTCTTCTGACTTCCTGTTGGTCATTTCCTTGATGAAGAAATCCAATCAATGTGTATAGGGGTAGCCGCGGTCGGAAGACAACAAAAGGAGCAGCCGGGTAAACGGTGGAATTGCCGGGTGTCGTTCCGATGACGTCGATTCGGCGGGGTCGATGGGAACACAAAGCAACCCAGATCATCATCCTCTCTCCTAACCAACCTTCTACCTCTCTATCGGATCATTGAACGCGGTGCTCGGCTGCTTTCATCAATTGCGAACCGTTCCAAGCGATATCTTTGTGCGTTTGCTCTCTTCTCCATTCCTTCATGTTTTACGGACAGCTTCTAACTACCCCTCTCCGAAGGTCTCTCCTCGGATCTGTGAAACCTCGCCCCCTTTCCGCATTCAGACCGCTCCATTGTTCATCAGTCGACATGTCCGGCGTTAGCAAGGCCTGCTGCTCGTACGTGATCTTGCAATTGGCGTTGTTATAGCAGAGTGATATCAGTCTGACACATTCAGGATCCCTCCCATTGTCGCCCAAGGCTACCAGGGCAAGGGTGAATACAAGACAATCAATGGAATGAAGACATGTAGGTCAATTGCGAACCTGCATCTGGATCAAAAGAGTTACTGACATATGTTCAGATGTTACTGGCCCCGACTCTGCCTCCAAGGCCATCTTCATCGTCTACGGTGGGTAGTCGTCCAATCGTTCATCCGTCTCTGCCCGCAGAAAAACAGCTAAGAGTGACTTGGAAAAAATAGACATCTTCGGCTTTTTCCCTCAGACAATCCAAGGCGCCGATATCCTCGCTACCTCGAGCGAGCAGAAATACCGTGTCTTCATGCCCGACTTCTTTGAGGGCCAACCCGCGGACATCACCTGGTTCCCTCCTCAGACCGAAGAACACAAGCAGAAGCTGGGCAATTTCTTCCAAACCAAGGCTGCTCCTCCTGCAAATCTGCCCAAGATTCCACCTTTCGTCGACGAAGCGAACAAGCTCGCCCCCAACGGCAAGGCCTTCGAGTCCTGGTCTATCCTCGGATACTGCTGGGGTGGAAAGATCGCATGCTTGTCCTCTGCCAAGGACACTAAGTTCAAGGCCGCGGTGCAATGTCATCCCGCCATGGTTGATCCCAATGATGCTAAGAATGTCACTATTCCCATGGCCATGTTGGCTTCCAAGGACGAGAATCCCAAGGACGTCGAGGCTTTCGGTGCCAACCTTAAGGTTGACCATTATGTGGAGACCTTCCCTACCCAGATCCACGGCTGGATGGCGGCTCGATCGAACCTTGAGGATGAGGAAGTCCGCAAGGAGTATGAGAGAGGTTACAAGACTGCTTTGAGCTTCCTTCAGAAGCATGCTTAAAAACCAGGGCTGTGATGAAGGACGTAATGCTATTATCTCTAATATATATGAATGACGAGCCAAAATGATGAATCATAAACATGAGTGTTTTTCTATCATACTGTCCACAGTAGCCAAAGTTCAATAATTCCATCGCGTGGCCAGTAAACCAGACCTGTCATCGAGCTGGCACTTCCAGATCCGGAAAGAGACCCCGAATACTCCACTCGGTCCCAAGAATGAACGTCATCGTTTATCCGCGGCTCTCTCTCCCCCGCTCATCTTCAACTTTCTTGCAACAATTAAGCCATCAAATCATCGATTGATATTCGTCTTGTCTCTTCTTGGCTCTTTTTGTGCGACATTCTTCTTTTCAAACAGTGATGGATGGTCACCAGTTTTTCTAGGCTTGTTTGAAGCATTGCACTGTTCTTAGCCGATCAGGTGGCTATACCTGCATCTGATCGTACGATTTGATTCAACATGTTCATGTTTGGTCGAAATTTTCATGACATCAGGCTTTAAACTCCTTATCAATATCTTATGGACCATTGGGACTATATAAGGTTTCTTTTATCTCTACATGATTGTGCTGATGCTATGATGGATTGAACGACATACACCGCCACTCTCCAAGAATTAGCGTAAGTAATCTGCAATCACATGCTCCTTCTCTCATCAAGCTCTCAAGATCCATCCGTTCGCAAGTACTCCTGGTACCAATACTGAAAATTCATCTAGATCAACATGCGTGTATTATCTGGCAGGCGTCGTTCTGTTTCGACTGCGGCGCCTTCTAATACCGGCGCGAGCAAAGCATCAGAGAGCTCGCCTAGGAGAGCTTCCTTCTCGCTGGAAAATAGTCGCGATTACAGCGCATCTGGAAGGAACCCGTTGCGTAACCTTTTCCAGAAACATGGCGCTGCGCCAGTAACGGAAGATGTCTCGGCAACGGATGTACCTCACGCGTCAATCGAGGAGCACGGTAATGTAAGGCTTACTTTACACTTCTGGCTAACAGTGTATACTAAATAATCTATCAAGGCTAAATCTACCACGACTCCGAATGCGCAGTCGGTAAAGAACCCAGGCCGACAAGATCACTCTTTGGGCTCTTCTAGGACGAAACATACACATTATTCAGACGAGCACGGCGAACGGCAGGATGCGTCGAATTCTACCACTGACACTCTTGCTAGATCTCAGAAGGCAGATGTTCACGACAAACCTCCATCTGAGACTCATCTCAGCAGAGATGATATTCATGCCATATTTTCCGGGGCACCATACTTCCTTCTAGAAAAGGGCAAGCATGGACTCTGGTATCCACAAGTGATCTTCCCATGGGATGACCACGACCCTACGATTCAGCACCTATGGGACAGAAAACTTCTTCCTCATCCTTCATATTCCCTGTGCACCCTTCATGCCCATCTCCCCGTCCCCGAAGGCTTCCTTGAAGGCGACGCTCCCCTCCTGTTGGACAGCTGGAAAAGAACCGGTGCGCCAAAGAGAGCTACTTTCGATATTGGTATATTCGAAGTCCCAAATATGCTTGCTATGAGCGGGATAGAGCCGGGGACTGTGGGCTTTCGTCATTTTCTAGAGCTTCCAGTGGCTGATTCCGTTCGATTCGTTCATACTGGAACGCCTCACCTGCATACTAATCTACTGCACATTCATACCCTACCGGCCCTTCAGGCTGACGAACTTCTGGAACATTACCATGAGCCCTACTCGCAGTGTCTCGACGGTACTATACATGATCGAAAAATACTTCTTGGTGACGGTCCGACCGCCTGGAAAAGAATTGGTCTGCGAGATATCAATTTCAAAGCCTTGGTCGACCGTCTTGAGACCTTGCGAAACCTGCGTCACGAGTTACTATATGAAAACACGCAGAAAACGATACTCGACGTAGAAACTGCGCACGACCTCTACAGCGATTTATTTTCCAAGTTTCTCCATCCCCCGCCCCGATTCATGCTCACGGATCTCGATAGCACGCACGGCCTCAAGGCCGAGATCAAAGCGTTGACCATGGTTTTAGCGACACCAGGAGCATGGTTCGACTTCAGTCTCGTCGACTGGCGTTTCCGCATCGGACAGCTTCTCTGGGAAGTTCCTCCCCATGTGGACGGCGACTTCTTTGATCCAAGTATCATTCACAAACCCTGGGCTCATCCGGGGTTGGAACAGAAATGGTTTCTGATCCAGATGCTGCTAGCTGCGGAGTTACTTCTTCGCCTAGACGCCATTGTCAAAGTTGGGCTGCTTGAGAGCTCGAAGGACGTCAGTGTCTCGGCTCAAGATGTCAACCATTTCGATAAGCTACGCAATCCTAAAGTTGACTGGGACTTGGTGGTGGTGCGTCGCTTCTTCGACAGCTTCAAGATCTCCTGGGGCGACTGCCAATCCGCTGCAGTGTCGAATGCTCCGTCGCAGCCGTCAACCCAGGAGAAGTCGACTCAAAAGGCTCGTCGCTTTTCATTCTTTGACAGCATAACACGCAGGCATTCTGTAGCCTCTTCTCCTCACTCCGATGTTCACGGGATATTCAGACTTACACCCACTCATGTCGAACAGCAAGTTGAAGGACTTTTGGCATTTGCCGAAAACATCGGTTGGCCTCGTGTTGACTCG